GATTATTTCCTGATGATAATAATGGAAGTCGAATCATGATAACTACTAGGCTTTTAGAAGTAGCTGATTGTGCTGGTAATGGTTGCCCTCCCCATCACATGCCTTTCCTTAATAGTTGGACTTCGCTGTCTGACAAGGTATTTGGAAAGGAAGACTGTCCTCCTCAGTTGGAGGAAATAGGGAAGCAGATGGCAGAACATTGTCAAGGATTACCCCTCTCGCTTGTTGTCATTGGTGGGCTTCTCTCCAAGATCAATAGGACATATGAAGATTGGAAAAAAGTTGCTGAAAATGTGGTTTCACAAGTAGGTTCCACCAATGAGCATTGTTTAACAATATTGTCATTGAGTTACAACTGGTTGCCTCCTAGCTTAAAAGCTTGCTTTCTTTATATGGGGGTTTTCCCAGAAGATGCAAAAATCGATGCGAAAAGATTGATTAGAGTTTGGGTTGCTGAGGGTTTTCTGAAGCGAATTAGTCATAAAAAAATGGAAAAGGTAGCAGAAGAGTGTTTAGAAGATCTAGTTAGCAGAAGTTTGATTATGGTTCGCCGTCGAGAATGGGTAAGCGGAAAAATTAGTTGTTGCAGAGTTCATGACCTTGTTCGGCTATTATGCTTGAGAGAAGGAAAAGCTGACAAGTTTTTTCATGTCATAAATAAGTGTTACGAAGTGTCCTCTAGAGGCATGGAGATTGAACATCGATTATTTTTGCATGAAAATGCCGTAAGAAACCGGAATCTAGGCTTGAAGAAAGGCAATCTCGATTCAGTTCGTACCATCTTGTGCAGCTGATCTCCAGAAGCTTCCGTCTAAAGCACAGTTTTTCCCAAGGGGAGCTGCTCTGCTATCGCACATGTTCCCCGAAAACCTCAAGAGCTTGACTTTTGTAGCCACGCATCTACTGTGGAAGGATATGACTATGCTTGGTAACTTACTCAAACAAGAAGATTTTGCTTTTGAAGGGAGCAATTGGAATCTTGATGAAGGGGGTTTCAAGAAACTCAAGTTGCTATGTATTAGCAAGACCAACTTGGAAGCAACCAATGATAGCCTTCCGTCTTGAGTGTCTTATCTTGAGGCATTGCTATAAATTAGAGGAGATTCCAACAGAAATTGGAGATATTCCCACATTAGATTTCATTGAGTTGCATAATTGTAGCCAAGCTGCTGTCAATTCTGTAGAGGAAATTCTAAAAGAACAACAAAGCTTTGGAAATGAAGTTCTCGCGGTCCGCCTAAAACACTGGAGGTACGTAAAAATCATCATGATCTTATGATATTTTGATTGAGTTCATTATTTTGCTTTGTCTTTTTTACTGATGCTAATTATTTTTACTGATGTGCAAATAGCAGTACAAATTGCTGACATGAAAGATGAAGAAGTGGTTGCTATTGCAATGTAACGTATGATCACAATTGTATGTGTATGAGTGCAAATACATCTTACTCTAATTTGTCTTCATTTGTTTGATCTTCTTCTCATGTGTGTTGCTATTTGATGGCATAAAAGATAGATAACAATGGACAACAAGTTGGTTTTCTTATAGTATATGCATTATCTCATTACATACCTGTTCATTCTCTGCAATATCACGTTATATACAGCTGCTATTTATTTTTCTCTTAGCATTTCATAAAATCTAACAATTTGTCACTTGTTATTCAAATCATCTTAAAGGTGTTAGAAACTACTTTTTTTCTTATAACTGTAGAAAGTGATAACAAAAAACTACATTTGTGATGTTTTGGTTCTTTATGTTACTGTATGCCTTGATCTAATAGAATTTCTTAATTATAGTCGAATTACAAAGATTTCTCATCTGTTTATTATATTTATTTTTATTTTGCATCTCCTTATTTGTTTAGTATTTCTTTGCTATGAAATCTCTCTGTCTAAAGTAGTGATTATTTGTTGGTTTAAGAAGTGAATGAAGATGAAGAAATATGGGATGCATACTCAACAAAGCCAATAGGCAGGTTTGATCCCTTTATGCTTCTAAATGGCTATGTGACTGGTGATGAGTTTGGACTCCTCCTTGAACAAGAAAAAAGGATATTAAATTAGTCCATAAGGAAAAACTAAATTAAGAAGTGTTCTGTACGAGATCCTTGGATATTTGCTGATATATTTAACTAGGCTGGATCTAATTTATCAAAATATGGAGAATTGAAGTCTCCTTAAAGCTAAATATTGTTGCAAAACAATGGGACTAGGATTCTGGAGAATGTTAATGGATATCAAGAAAGGCTGTGAAGAACATTTGCTATGGAAGGAAACTGGAAAGGTAGGTGTCTTTTAGCTTTAGTGATGCAACAGGGGAACAAATCAAACAAGGTCAGGGTAGCTGATTTTATCCATCAGAAATTCAGAATCATTGGGATATGGAGAGTTTAAAAGTTGTTATACCTCCTGATTACAGGGAATTAATATCGTCTATCTATTCCTGTAATCTGTGGAGGAGGATCAGGCTATTTGGGTGGCTGATCAGACTGGCAATTTTTCATGCAAATCGGCATGGAAATGCTCAGAAACTCCACCCTAAGTGGCAGCAAGATATGGCACAGCTAGCAAACTACCAGTTAAAGTTTCTTTCTTTATGCTAAGACTTCTATCTGGAAAATTAACCTACAGATGATTCATTGAGAAGGTTTGATCTTCACAGTCCTTCCAAATGTTTCTGCTGCTCGAACAGTTCAAATGAAACTATCAACCACCGATTTTGTGAAGGAGAAATGGCTTGAAATGTTTGGAAGTATTTTACTAATGCTTGGCGCATCACTTTCTATCAGATCCATGGTGATATGTTGGTGGTTGACTAAGCCTAGAAACAAGGTCATGAACTTATCTTACGGTGCCTTCCCTCTGTTTTGTTATGGGAAATCTAGAAGCATAAATGTGCTTTCAAATATGATGATATTAATAGTACCTTTAGAAGAGTCATTGACACCAATTTAGATATCAAGTTAGTAAGATGGATTAAGCCAAGTTTATACTCCTATCATTTTAAATTGAATGTTGATAGTTGTAGTAAGGGTAATCCAGGTAGTGCAGGTTTTAAGAAATCATTAGAGTCATATTATTATGGCCTTCTCTGCGTATTTTGGTTCCTGTAGCAACTACAGAGCGGAAATTCCAGTATTAAAGCTGGGATTGAAGTGGTGCTTGGAACAAGGGGGAGATTGCGATTTCCTGGCAGATTCAAGAAGAGGTCAAAGCAGGTTCAAAGAAATGTACCTCAGGAAAACGGAAAATTCTCTTTTTATGTACCACTACCAAAGTAGATACATATAGAAATTTTTTTGTTTTCGGTTTAACTAGTTAGTATCCAATTCAATTGTCTGAGGTATCATAATAGTTCAGTTAGTTGGCTTTAAACCCTTTTTATGTATGATGAAAAAGAATTTAAAAACAGATCTCATTTGCCTAATAATTCGAAATCGCGCCACTAGCAGAGATGTACTCTATGATAGTACGGAATTTAATACGAGTACTCTAATCATTGGTTCAGCCCAAAGGTTCAACAGCAAGTACAAGGGGCATTTTCAAATTTTGAAAGTGTATAATCTAAAGTAGTTCAATCTCTTCAATTCAACTTTAGAAATCAAATATCATGTTTTTCTATCTTCAAATGCAATTTCAGAAATTCAAATTTGAAAGTAGTTCAATCTCTTCAATGCAACTTCAGAAATCAAATATGAAGTTCTTCTATCTTTCAAATGCAACCTCAGAAATTCGAATCTTAATTAGTTCAATGCAACTTTAGATTACGAATCTTAAGTTCTGAAACATAAACTTGTTCTTCGAACTATTCCAAATGAGCTCAAATATGAAACATAACTTTTAAATATCATAAAGAACAAATCTCAATCATCAAATTGTCAAAACAATAATAAATTTAACAAAACCCATTTTGCAATTAAGGAGAAGAAAAAGAAACTTTAAGCACAAAGAAGAAGAAAACAATAGTAAAGAAGAAAGAAAATTGTATGTATCTGAAGTTATCCAAAAATTAGGTACTCCATACGTTTCAAATTAGATGAGATACTTTCATTTTTAGTCTGTTACAAAATAAATGACACATTTTTAAATTTAAAAATAATTCAACTTTAAACTCTTCATTTTACTCATTTTAGCCTTAATGAAAACTTTTATAACCACACAAATATCATGGCCCCACAAAGCTTATACTCCTTAAGCTTTTAAGATCACAAATTTCAAAAGTCTTTTTTTAAACTCCGTGCTGAGTCAAACTATCTCATCTAAATTGAAATGGAGGGAATGTTAATTAAACTTTTTTTTTAAGTAGATACAAATTCAACAGACGAAGCAAAACTCGGCGCAACATAAAAATTCTTACAAGTCCAAGGCCAGAAAGGATTTAGCGATCCATGGACTTTTAAGAGTTCCCTTTAAAGGGGAAAAACTCACAAATAGCAATTTTTACTGACTGCTATTAGAAAATAAGTCATAGTTTTAAAGTTAATACTCCATCCGTTAAACTTTTGAACTTGTGGTGTAAAATAAGACATATATATTTTGTGTGGCTATAAATCTTTTAATAAAGGTAAATTATTTCCAAATAAGAAAAATAGTCATTCTTTTTGACACAGACTAAAAAGAAAATAGGTTCACCCAAATTGAAACGGAGAGTATATTAGCTTTCCTTGAAGACACGGTAAACAAGATCAGTGATCAAGAAGCACTAAAATCTTTAGAAAAGAAGATTAGATGCAGGATATAAAGCAAAAGATACTGTTGGTTTGTGCCCAGGAAGAATCCATATGGCTAATACTGAACATGATCAAAACAACGCTCGTTGTAAGCTCTACGACGAGTTGCAGCAAATAACAGAAGTGATGGATTCCATACGAGTAGGGGTGATGAAGTTCAAGAATGACCGGCACAATATATAACCAGCAAAATCTTTCAGCAATAATAACTTCTTCACCTTTGCGCTCATCAGGGTGTGTCTTGGATGAGGAAATACTCTTGTTGGAATGGAGGATGATTTCAACATCATAAGAGATCAACTCTTTGGGCAAACACCAGAGCTGAACGTTGTCTCAATTGTTGTTATGGGCGGTATCGGTAAGTCGACTCTTGCTAGAAGTTTATTTAACCATCCATCAGTATACCATCGCTTTGATATTTCTTCATGGGTTACTGTTTCTCAAGCATATGATGCAAAAGAAATGCTTTTGGATGTCCTAAGCTTTGGTACTCCAGGTGGGAAGGCAATGTACCGCGATATGAGTGAAGATGAATTATTGGACCAAGTGCATAGAGAATTGAAAAGGAAGAGGTATTTGATATTTTGGACGATATGTCGACTATAGAGTCTTGGGACCAAGTAAGAAGATCATTTCCCGATGATGGAAATGGAAGTCGCATCATGATAACTAGTAGGCTCTTCGAAGTAGCTATTTGTGCTGGAAATGGTTGCCTTCCTCATCACATACCTTTTCCTAATCTTGAAGATAGTTGGAAATTACTATCTCTTAAGGTTTTTGGAGAGGAAGATTGTCCTCCTCAGCTTGAGTAAGTAGGAAAGCAGATAGCGCAACAATGTCAAGGGCTACTTCTCTCAGTAGTTGTCATTGCTGGGCTTCTCTCCAGGACCAATTGGACATATGATGATTGGAAACAAATTGGTGACAATGTGAATTCTCACCGTAACAGATGAGAGCCGATAGATCAGTGAGTTCTCTCATTTGTATTGCATCTAAAATTCAATTAACTTCTTTCAACAATAGTTTAATGGTAAGCTGGACAGACATTACTCTTTCAACTACTCAACAGTAAACTTGATAAAACATTCAATCTGGTATCCACAGTCAAAGCTTATCACACATCTAATAAGGAGATATCAAATCTTATCACACAGAAAGTGAGAAGGAAATATAAAATTCATCTTCTAAAGCACTTCCAGTCACTAACGCTTAAAGTACTCAAAAAACCATCACTGACATCTCAGTCAGAATTCAAGATATAGTTCTTATACCATGAATGATATCTCAGGAACAGTAAATATGAATTCCAAGAGTTATATGGATTATTTCTAATTCCAAAAAACCTTAAAAAATAATAATTATCTACCTCTGTTATGTAATATACCTTTATGAAATTTGTTTGCCAAAGGCATCCAATAAAATCTACTATGCAAATAATATGATCAAGATGTGCTTTGGCTATATTTTATAACTGAATATTTGTTGAAAATGCTAAACTGTATTTTGATTCATTTATATTTCACCCTACGTTTAAGTTAAATATAAAAGTAATAATATAGAGATTGCTTTGTAGAAAATTCCTCTTCTTATTGATCATATTTTCTTTATTACTTCTTTAAACCATATTGTCAAACACATAAAGAACGTGATATACACTATTATTTCTTTCAACATTTCATATTAATAAGAGTAGTTGCCTGATATTCAACAAATTGTTAGGAAACTAATGCTGTCAAAATCCCAAGGAAACACTTCATAGTAACCTTACCATTGAGAACATTTGAATTCAGGGCTGGATTTCCTGAGTCGCAGTTACTGGAGCATCAAGGTACATACTCAAGACAACCACCTGAAAGAGTGGAAAAAATCTAATATGAACATAGCATATTCAGAAAAGAGAAAATCCCCAAATTTTCATGGCTTGCTCAGTTGGTAAAAACACCTCCACTCACAACCGTTAAGTCCTGGGTTCGAGTCACGCTGGAGGGGAAGTGTGAAAATACTATAGATCCTCCTAATTTGGGAGGGGTTTTGAAAAGAAAAAGTTCTAATAGAATCCCAAACCCTGTTTCAAGAGATGTCATGACAATCCCTAATAAAAATTACTTACAAAAATAAGTGAACATCTACAAAGAAAGGAAAAAGAATGTAAGACGAAAGTTGAATTCGGGGATAAACACATACTTAGAAGCATATTGACTAGTATCATACGTTCTGCATCTATGACGTTATTGTCAAAATTTCTATATACCATATGTGTACTATTACATAAGCTATTCAACGGATTTAAGTTTTCAGTAGCATGACAAGACATATTTTTCTTCAAAATCAACCTATACGTAAGTGACACTAATATACATAAGAAACAATGAACTTGACAACAAACATATACGATAGGAGTCCATGTACGATAGGAGTCCATTTGGTATTAAAGTATTTAAGTATTCTTCTTGGTTGTAATTATTGGTATCATCTTCTGCTGAGTCAAAACTGAAAAATATTTTATTTTTATCATGAAACTTAGTAATCAACCTTTTATTTAGTTGATCAATATATTCATTTCTGCTAGCTAAGATAACTCTTTAATCTCTATCATGTAATTTGCACAAATTACGTTTTAATCTAATGATGAAAATAATTTTTTTATTAAATGCACTACTATTTCCAGTGGGGTAGATAGTCAAGTGTTATAGAAGAACCAAATCATTTTTTATTGGATGTTCTTTTTCGTTTCTGACACGAAACAAGAAGTCACTGAATGTTGATCTGTTATTACTTTTATATTTCTTGTCAGTTGAATATTTTTCAATTGAGACCATAAGTATAATTTTGGCAAGTTAGCTTTAACAGTTTCTGCTTTGGCAATTTTGGAACTACTGATCGTACTTGACAAAAATCACTTCCCAAACTATTAATTTTTCACCAAATGGTACATTGATATCCATTATCTCTAAAACTCTAGGCGATTGTTTCGATCATTTGATGCTTAGACAAAAGCGCTTCATCCCATATTATCATTTTTGATTTCCTTATAAATTTAGCACTATTGCTTTGCTTTGATATATTTGTTATGGTTATTTCAATTACTTGAAGAGGAATATCAAATCTAAAAGTGAGTTGTATGACCTTATAATAAAATCGTTGTTGGTACACCACTTGTTCTTATGCCTCTTGATCTAACAATTTGCAAGTAATGCATGGCATAGGAATATTATTTCGATTCCATCGGAGGCAACTATTGTGATGACCCAAAAGGTCATCTTTAAATTTGATAATTAATTCTGTGTTTTAAGACCTCAAAAAGCACTATTTATCATTCCTCGACTTGCATGCACAATCCGTCTAATTTTTCGAAAAGTTTTTATATGAAAAATTGATTAAAATGTCAAATAGAGCTTTAAAACTCAATTAAGTTGACTTTGGTCAACATATTTAGAAAACGGACCCGGATCAATGTTTTGACAGTTCCGGTAGGTCCGTATCGTGATTTGAGACTTGGGTGTATGCCCAAAATCGAATTCCGAGGTCCCTAACCCGAGATATGAAATTTTGATGAATAATTAAAATTTTGAAAGTTTAATGACTTTTAAGAATTTATTGATGTTGGATTTATTGGCACCGGGTCTGTATTTTGGTTCCGGAGCCCGGTATAGGTCTTCTATAATATTTATGACTTGTCTGTCGAATTTGGTGAGAAATGGAGTTGAATTGACGTGATTCAGACGTTCGGTTGTGAAAATAGAAGTTTTAAAGCTTTCTTGAAAATTTTATTCGATTTGGTGTTCAATTTGTAGTTCTAGGTGATATTTTGGCGATTTGATCACGCGAGCAAGTTCGTATGATATTTTAGGACTTGTGTGCTTGTTTGGTTTGGAGCCCCGAGGGCTCGGATGAGTTTCGGATAGGCTACGAGTGTTTTGAAACTTTGGGAAAATCTGGTATTTCCCAGTTCTGGTTTCTTTAATCGCGATCGCGAAGGCTTGTTGAGCACTAATGAAAATTTGTACTATGCGATCGTATGGTATTGTAAGCGATCACACAGTTGGAAAAGCTAAGGCACCGTGAACGTGAAGAAGGAATGAGGCAGAAGCGAAAACACCAAATTTGTGCTACGCTATCGCACAAGTTACTACGCGATCGCGTAAGGCGGAGAAAATGTTCTCTGCGATCGCGTAGAGTTAATAATCTGGGCAGCCAAAATGTGCTTCGCGATTGCAAAGAATTATTCGCGATCGCGAAGAGTAAAATGGACCTGGGCAGAAGTTGTTCTACACGATCGCGAACGAATTTCCGCGATCGCGATGAGTAAAAATCTGGGCAAACAGAACTTAAGTTCTGGAATGGGATTTCGACCCATTTTCCACCATTTTCGATTTTGAGCTCGGGTAAGACGATTTTTGGGCAATATTTACGGGAAAACATTGGGGGTAAGTGTTCCTTATCTTATATTGATAATATTTCGTGATTCCATACTCATTTACATCATAAATCCGTGAATTTATGGAAGAAAAATCAGTTTTTTATAAACTCTTCCAAAAATGTAAAATTTATATTTGAAGGTCAATCCGATGTCGGAATTCGATAATTTTTATATGGTTGGACTCGTCTCGGAATGGGTGTTCGGATGTCGTAAGGTTTTCCGAGATTTGAGACATGGGCCTGCAGTCGATTTTTAAAATATATTTCGGATTTTAATCTGAAAAATTAATAAATTCATATGGAATTAATTCCTACGATTCGTATTGAATATATTGAATTGTTTATGACTAGGTTCGAGGATTTTAGAACCTAATTCGCAAGGTAATGGTGTATTGGAAACTTTAAATTTGGTTGCGAAGCGAGGTAATTGTCGTGGTTAACCTTGACTTGAGGGAATAGAACCCTTGAATTATTTGCTATGTAAATTTCATGTGTAACGATGTTTAGGCAAGGTGACGAGTGCCTATACTTTGTCAAATTAATTGTTGCATAATTATTAAATATCATAAATTATTTTAATACACTAATTGATTGTTATAATGTTGGTTTCTCTCACATTCTGTGTTATATATTAATTCTTGAATTCCTGCAATAATTGTTATATACTTATTTGATTTATGTGTCTTAATTTCTACTTGAAATTTAGCATATTAAATATTAAATTGCCTATTTTCTCCTCGATTTCCACAATTAATTGCTACTTATTAGTATTTATTTCATAAATAAATTATAATTATGGTGTGCCTTAGTGCTTAATAAATTCTCATTGAACGTGGTATTTATTGGGGTAATATTTATTAAATTTATGAATTGTTAAAATTATATTGGAGGATCGGGTTGCATGCCGCAACGGAAATGAAAGTAACTATATTGGGGGATCGCGCTGCACGCCGCAACAAACTTATTTAAAACTATATTGGGGGATCGAGTTGCACGCCGCAACAGACTTATTTAAAAGCCTATATTGGATGAGCGGGTTGCACGCTGCAACGAAAATTGATGGAAATAATAATTGGTTATGATTGCTGAATTGGCTTCAACTGTTAAAATAAGTTACCTGATTTATTTCTATTATTGTTGTTATTACTATTATTGCGTACAGTTTAATGTAAGTGACATGCCTTAGCCTCGTCACTACTTCGTCGAGGTTAGGCTCGGCACTTACCAGCACATGGGGTCAGTTGTACTGATACTACACTCTGTACTTCTTGTAAAGATTTCGGAGTTGGTCCAAGCGGCGTAGCATAGACTTTCTCGGATTTCAGCTACCCAGAGGAGACTTGAGGTATAACTGCACGACATCCGCAGTTCTGAAGTCCCCGTCTACTTTACTTTAGCTGTGTGTTTGCTTTCAGATAACTTTATTTTATTCAGACCTTTATTAGTATTATTCTAGAAGCTGGTGCACTTGTGACACTAGTTCTGGGCTGGTATTTAGACATCGCTATTTTTATGGATTATTCACTATATTTTA